AACTCCTTGATATGTTGTTTGGTACACTTCTTCGAGAAAATAAGGACCAAATATTTAGAAAAACAAGGTGGTTTTATATTTTTTTTCACAAGTTTTATCCATAAAATTATAATTTATTTCTATAACTATAATTTATTTCTAGAAACGTTTAACAATCACTAAAGATAAGCGGAATTGTTAAAACGACTTATCTTATTATTAAACTCTTTCCAAATTACTACGAATGTAAGTCATACAAGGAATAAAACTAAAGCAATCTGTTCTTCAACCCATCAGCTAAGAGTACAGAGGGGAAATCGTAATATATTCGAAAAATTTATATGTGGTCGCAGATGTGAGAAGTGACGCCATGTTTAGTAACTATATATCTGGTTCACGTCGAAGTTCCAACCATATAGCAACGCGATGCCCCGATGAGAGCAAATAGACGTAAAAATTAGTTCTTTCTAAACAAAAACATTCACGCAACGAACTTATTAAACAATGCAAGTTCAAAGAATCTAATATTTCGAAGAAGGGAGCCTTCGGTGTTCCATATGAAAGCGGAGAAACTTCGAAAACAGAACTTTTAAGCCAGTAACGAGTTCCGAAACCATACTTAACCCAATTAGAAGCAATGTCTTGATGCGCAAATTGAAGTATATGGTTATGAAAGAGAACCCTTCGATCCCAAAAGCCATTTCAATAAAGATACCGTAAATAAGATAATAAACAATAAATGTTTACAAGATTCTGGCCACATTTTGAAATCGACGAATAATTTCACGAGAAACTTGGAAGAAGAAACTGTCGTTATTCCAAGTCTCCCGAAGCAGATCCAATGGATTTTTGTGCCTTTGGATTGCTGAAACGGGGTTTTGGAATATGACTTATGGAAAGTTTGTGAAGAGTCTGATGCAAGATTCATTTCACCCTAGTCCATTTTTTTTACAGTTGAAGTAGCAGTGTTGAACAATATTGTTTTATCATTGAAACGAATCGACGGCAGAGTAAATATATGGCCTAGTGATTAGAGCGCTTAACTCGTAATCTGAGTGTCGCGGGTTCTAATCCCTATCCCACCAAACATATTCGCCCCTTTCAGCCGTGGTGGCATTATAATGTAACGGTCAATCCCACTATTCGTTGGTAAAAGAGTAGCCTAAAAGTTGGCGGTGGGTAGTGATAACAGGCTGCCTTCCCTCTAGTCTATCACTGCTAAATTAGGGACGGCTAGCGCAGATAGCCCTCGAATAGCTTTGCACGAATTTCAAAACAAAACGGAGTAAATATAGTTTTATCGGCAGTAAAGGAGATGAAGATCGTTCTTCAAAATTGTAAATAACCTCAGTAATTAGAAAACTTACAATGTCATCAAACTCAAACACATTTCATATTCCAATTGATTTATGAACTACTCCCGGCATGGCCAGGTGGTTAGGGCGTTCGACTCGCACTCTGTAGGTCGCGGGTTCGAATCACCGTAACACCAAACATGCTCGTCCTTTCAGCGGTGGGAGCATTATAATGTAACGGTCAATCCCACTATTCGTTGGTAAAAGAGTAGCCCAAGAGTTGGCGGTGGGTGGTGATGACTAGCTGCCATCCCACTGCTGAATTAGGGACGGTTAGCGCAGATAGCCCTCGTGTAGTTTTGCGCGAAATTCAAAAACAAACAACTTGTGAACTATTTAAGTATTTTAAAATAATATGCGTATATTCTATTTTCATGCAGAATTAATAGCATAACATTTCTAAATAAGTGGGTCAAGACAAAAAATTTGTATGTGAACATAACATTTAAAAACAACATAAACATTTGTGACAAATAGACATCGTAAACGAAAACTTTGTTAAGTTAGCAACATTTAATAAAAATCTGGATACACCCACGTCTTCGTCATGATGTATTTTAAATTTAGATAAAAAAAACACTTGTGTCATAAAAAATGTATTTTAAATGGGATTATTTAATGACAAAGTTTCTGTTATCGTGCATATTTGCTGGAAATCGACAAATATTACAACTTAAAAAAAAGCCTTTTAAATCTGTGAAAGCTGTAACTTGTCTTGTTTTATAAATATCACGTTCTAGTAATACACGATTAACTGTATCCGTGAGAATCTGTCATATGGTATTAATCATATCTATGATAATGATAATCGTTAAAACTTAATGTATTATCTCGCATGTGACGTTGATACTACGTTAAAGACGTTTGATAATAAAATTGTCAGTGCTGGAACAGAAGTCACCCCAAACCCCTTTTCTTGCTCAAACCATTCTCCCAGATAGTCACATCGTATACTTAATTAAAAGTGATGTTGAAGCCTCCAGGGTTACACTTTATTTCGCTTTTAGTTTTCTCTACTATATGGATCCAGGGGTTTGCGGTTGTTGACCTCCACAAACATTACCAAAATAATGGTAAAAGCTTTTATCTTTATTCACAAAGGAGTGAAACGTATTTCTGTGCTTAAGTACTTTTGATTTTGAACTGGTTTAAATGGTATTGACTATATATATATATATACACTGGATGTTTTCTATAATAACTGAAGAGAAATCACTAATGCACGTTTTATTTGAAAGAAGTAGTGATGGGTTCCAGTCCATTGAATTTATATACTTTTTTTTCCAATGTATATACATTATGTGTGTTTGTGGTAAGTCCATATTCTCCTTTTTTCCAATGTATATACATTATGTGTGTTTGTGGTAAGTCCATATTCTCCTTTTTTCCTATGTATATACATTATGTGGGTTTATGGTAAGTCCATATTCTCCTTTTTCCTATGTATATACATTATGTGGGTTTATGGTAAGTCCATATTCTCCTTTTTCCTATGTATATACATTATGTGGGTTTGTGGTAAGTCCATATTCTCCTTTTTCCCATGTATATACATTATGTGGGTTTATGGTAAGTCCATATTCTCCTTTTTCCTATGTATATACATTATGTGGGTTTGTGGTAAGTCCATATTCTCCTTTTTCCTATGTATATACATTATGTGGGTTTATGGTAAGTCCATATTCTACAAAAAAAAACACACATAATGTATATACATTGGGTGGTAAGTCCATATTCTCCATAGCTCAAGTGTGTCATCACCAAGAACTCTTCATCTCCTATATGATTTGTTTACATGCTTTGATGTAAAAGAAAATTAAATCGCGTGATGTTTATAGCTGAGCTTTCATATAAAAACCTCTCAGAGTCATTTAATAAGTCCGAGAATATAAAATACAGATTTAAATGAAGAATTTGATAAATAGATACTACGGTACAATGTATTATCATGTTTTAAAATATTCAATATTTTTTTTTTTACAGAAACTTTCCAGGGAGAGAAAATAAAATGCATTGATGAGCTCGGATGTTTTGGGACCGGTGGTGTGTTTTTTCATCCTCTTTTTCGGCCTATCGATGTTCTCCCCGATGACCGAGAAGTCATTAATGTCCAGTTTAACCTTTACACAAGAGATCGTCCCAAAGACGAACGAGTGCTGAAAAGTTCAGATAAAAATTCGGTTCTTAAGTCTGAATTCAGTATAAATCGCCCAACCAAGTTTATTGTCCATGGTTATATCGACAATGATCTATTTGGACCCTGGATGAAGGTAAGCCTAAATTCTTATATTCAAATAACATTATGTGCTACTTTGGAGCGTTCTTTTACCTTTTAAATGTTTTAAAATATTTTTTTCGAAACCTATTTTAACTCCTTTGAGAGCGTACACTATTACAGAATATCAAGTTAAATATATATAAATTATTCAATGTTCCTTTTAACAATTATTTTTTTATTACTTTTTCCGGTTGCATGAAATTGAACGGCACCACAACGCCAAAATATATTTTGTTGTATGCAGAGTCTCAAAGACGAGCTACTTCTTAGAGGAGACTTCAACGTTATAATTGTTGACTGGAGTGGTGGAAACAAGCTACCTTATTACCAAGCAACGGCTAACACTCGTGTTGTCGGGGCCGAAATCGCTCTGTTAATATCAAGATTAGAGGTACTCAGTATTATATAACATTTATATGCTAGTGCATCATTGTCAGGCACTGTCAACTTATACTCAGCCAAAAATGCATTCAATGTTGAGCAACAAGTCAGGCCAGTCACCATCTATTCCATCTGTTAAATGGAAATTGGGCCAGATGGAACTACCCCAACTGCTTGAAGTTAGCACTATAACAAACCTAACAGACGATCTTGAATTGTTAGTGCCATCTATGCTAAGAGTGAACAAAATTCAAAAAATTCGTTACAGTTAAAAGAAAAAAATATTTAATCAAAGTTGTGAATAAATTTAATCAATACATTATGACATCGATTACAATATGTCAATAAGTTTAATCGAAGAAATATATTGATGATTTTAGATTTTTGGTAATAATAATAATTCAGTTTCAATGTTTAGATAATTTGTATCAGTTTCTTCAACATTCACATCAGACTTCAATATTTTATACACAAATATAGCTTATTCTGATTTGGTAAGATTTTTAGAATTTATTTTTCGTTATCCCCTCTTCATGTACTAAGAAATATAACTAATTAATGCTTATCCTAAAATTTGGGCCTTTCAAATAGTATTCAATAAATATTTCCAAAAATACAAATTCTCTAATGTTTCGAACATGTACATTTTTTTCTGATATTTTGTTCATAAAACTGCGTTCTATTCCTGAAAATATGTTTTTTCTTTTCGGTGCATTTGTTATTTAATTAATGTACTTAATTTAACCAGAGTCCAAACTCTTCCTCTGAATTAATTATATAATGTACCAATAACACCAAATTTACTGCATATTTAAGTATATTATTTGTTGACAATGTCCGAACTTTCATATTTGTCAGAGGCAAGAATTAAACTCTCAGCTTTTAAAGATGTAATAGTTTCAAATTGAATACTACATTATCTTAATTTAGTTTCCTGGATAGAAACGAATATCGAAAACGTAAAACAAAAGTGAATAATTATTATATATCAATTAACAGTTATTTTAACAACAACAATCAATATCTATGCTTTTTTTTCACCAAAATATAAAAATCAAAGTTGGCCTCCTAACGAAACAATTTTATTATGCTAATCACAATAAAAATCGTGGATATTGTGTGAGAATTTAATCAGAAGCATGATAAGTAATGCTTGATTCTCTTGATATTAAATCAAGTGATACAATCACTATTCTACGATTTTTTAGTTCTTTGCTTAGCCTGAAATGCTACACATATAAACAGATACACCCAAGATTTTTTTTAAACAAACAGACATATTTACAAATTTTATATATCTTATTTTGCGTGACTAGTCTATGTATGGTTATAAATAGTGTCATAATAAAATATTCTAAACGTCAACAGGAATGGATTGGGCTAAATCCAGAAGACTGCCACATCGTCGGACATAGTCTAGGCTCTCAGATTTCGGGATATGCTGGTGAACGAATAAATAGATTAGGACGCATTACAGGTATGTAAGTACTGCTTTAGGCTTTTGTTGTGATTGTTGTTATGCACAAAACTACACAACAGGCAATCTGTGCTTTGCCCTCCCACGGGTCTTGAAAGCCGTATTTTAGCGTCGTAAGCAACAAACTTAAGTTACTTGCTACAGGTTAGTTGATCAAAAATCTTATTTTCATTATAAAATATTAACGTTTTTGATGTTCTTTATTTAGTTTTCTTAGATCTACCTTAGTGTTAGCCTTGTACAGTAATTAGAAAAACGTATTCCAAGTACATCTGCATATCTAGATACTCATTTCAGCCTCAGTAAACTTACCTGAATGAGATAAACACCTAAGTCTTATACAAATTATGATATCAAATTTCTACATCAAGAAACAACACCAATTTTTGAAGTAAGAAAATCAAAGAATCTAGAAACTCTAGCAATATTAACCGTGTATTTTCTAATAAAAATATTAACCTATAAAACGGAAGAAATATAATTAAACCAGTTTGTTGTTGCATAAATAACATTTATCCTGGAGGTACTTAAAAATACACCGCTGAAAGTAGAATCAAGCATCTGTAATGTATTATACAAAAGAGATAGATGAATAATTCATTATATAATTCACACAGTTAAAATCTATATACAATACAGTTAATTTTGGATACAAAAAAAGAAGAATGAAATCTGAAAGAAAAAAAAAAGGTGTTTTATTTGAAACAAATTCCAGGTACTGAGCTTCATCTAACCTTTACTTGTGTGTTTGTCGTTTTATAAAATGAAT